AAAAAAAAAAACAAAAACAGTAGCAGCAGCAGATTACTACCTTAGAAATTGACGCCAAAAAGTTTCTTAAAATGTCCTCAACCAAATCTATTTAATCGCATACGGTAACAATTACCTGTCACAACAAGCGGATTATATATCTGTATCTGGCCTACAGATCACAGTTTTTATTCAAACAATGCTTCGTCGTTGATAGATTTATGGCAGTACGGCGACTGAAGTATCACTTCAAAGGACCTCAACCTGACAAAAATTGTCCTCTTGATTCTGCGTAAAATTCATGGTATTTTAGCTAGTTTGAAGAGCCAGCAAAACAAAGAATTCGTCTGCAGCGAAAACCCCTCGAAATCCATTGAAAACGTCCAACTTTCAGTCTTACCTCCGATTCAAAAAAAAGCTTTGCAGCCATCCCTTTGAAATGTCCCAAATTTTAATCATAAATAGATAAGCAGCTTTATAAAACTGAATAAATGATTTGCTTATCAAGACAAAATGTTTTAAATCCAGTTTTTGTAAAAAAAAATACAAATTTCAAACAGTATCCTTTGTCTAAAACTTTACTTTCTTTACACTGTAATATGATCTTTGGCTCTCCGACTAATACCTTTTTCCGATCCCACAGTTGGAAATTAAAATTTTGCGTAATCTTCGTGAAAGGTAGTTTGAAAGGTTGATCATTCCTGTCAATGCTTGACAGCAATGTGATATGAAGTTACTCCAGATGGTAACAAGATTAATGATGGTGCAACCAAAGCTGCTAATTATAATCAGTGAAGTTCATTTACTTTCTGGCAAAAATCCTCCCAAATCCGCTTTTTTTCAAAGTTCCTCGTGATTATTCCTGTCCATTGTTTTAAAAAGTCAGTAAACTCAAGAAATCTTTCCAACGTTGGATTTCTTTTGAAAAGCCATAGCCCTTTTGTACCATTTCTCTGTTTTTAGTCCAGTGTTCTACTAAAAATTTCTATAATTTTTGCACAAAAAATATGACTGTCTGAAAGCAATTTTCTTCAGTCAGTATTTCTTCAGTTGGAAGTTGTACTTAAAATTTTTTTCAACAGTTGTTGTCAATCGCATGCAAGTCCTCACCTTTATCGGTAAAATTCCTTCGAGAAATTTAATAAATTAATAAGTGACAAGTGAATTCACAAAGACAAAACGATGATGTCTTCAGTGTCTATAATCTACAGCAATAAAACTCGAGGAGCGCTAATTCTTGGCGTAACCCGGGAAACTCAAATTTGAGGAGAGTACTGAAACTGTACAAAGCTTTGTTATTTCTGTAGTGGAATATTGCCAAGCGAAAAAAATTATTTGACTGAGGAAGTGGACCGATTAAAATGGAAGAAATTTTGGAAAATCAAAACTGAAATTGCACCAACTTCTGACTTGTATATATAGTTCTTCATTTTTTCTGCCATGTTATAACTATATATGCGTTTCCTGCTTCACTATTTCCACATTTTTATTTTGTATTTATTCACTTTCATAGTTTGTCGAGAACATTTTTTGTAGAACTAGAAGCCTTAAAATATTTCAGTTATTGCTCTATGTTTTAACATTTTACTTAATCTTACCTATTTGTCTCGTTCGCCTGACTGTTAAAGAATTTTTCTTGAATTGAACTTCTTATCTTCACTATTTGTTCCTTTAAAATTTTGGGATGTTTCTTGGACGCCAATATAGTGTTTTGCCGTTCGTCAACGAGCTAACATGTCATCGGTCAAAATCGATGCTGGTTGCAAAAATGAAAGAAGTTTTAAAAGGTGCAGCAATGAATAAAAGTATGGAAGAACAAAAAAGCGAACTTGAAAGCGAAGTGGATGAGAAGGTTCAATACTTTTAGTTTGTAAATTTTACACGTTTTGGCACAGTTTTACTGTACTTTAATATCTGCTTATGAAACTTAAATAATAATCTGTACAGTCAAACAGTCTCATGCGTTATATTATCTACATACATTTATTTACTATTGTCAGGGTGAACCATTTCGAAAATTTTTTGTTATGCCTGAACGACGGCTTAGGGCACAACAGGATATCTTGCGGATGACTGGTCGAGATATTCAGACTAAGAAACCTCCGCGTAATCTTTACGAGCTCACATCGGTAAATATTTTCACTACTTCTAGGATTTTAAAAAGTTCGTAGTGGAGCTCTGAAAGTTTTTGCAGAAGTACAAGTTCCTGCTTCTATACTTGTTTTCGTCAAGGTATTTTTATATTCATTACAAAATTCCTGCTCTTTTTTGTTTATAGAATTCAATTGTCGCCTTATTAATGCATTGAAGGTGCGTCGCCCACGACGTGAAGAAATGGAAACTGATCAAGATTGGCCCAGTGTCTGGCCGGTTGCCGCATCTTTTCGTGCCTCTGTTGTGCCCATCCCTGTTAGAATGGGGACCAGAAAATACCCGGAAAAAAAACCTCCGTTCAAGACGGTTCGTTTTTTTTTATACGACTGTCTTTTTACTACAAAGCCTAGATATTAAATGCTGAGATGATTATTCTTAGGTTGGTAACTTAGAACTTGTGAAGATTCCAAATTTCTTGCATCTAACACCGGAAGCTATTGAACGGCATTGCAACGCCATCAAAAGTTTGTGATTTGATCTTTTCCGTATTTATGTACTGGTTCGTAATTATTGCTCAAAATATGACATCATTTTACTGTTTCGAAAGTTTCCTCAAATTGTTTGTGACATAGTTCTGCCTAACGGTTTTAAAACTGTTTCTAAAAGTACATTCTAGTCT